GTGATTATTCTAAGCAATATTTTAATAATTTGAAAAAACCTTGACTTTTTTCTCATGTCTTGTTTTCTAAATTTCATAGACGAAACCAAGACTAGTCTATTCTGTCTAAAAAGCATTTTAGCAGGGGATTCAGCTCAGTGGCACTGCGCCTGCCTCATAAGCACAAGGTCCTGAGTTCGATCTCCAGTACCAAAAACAAAAGCAAAACTACCACATTTTAAACTAAATTGGCAAAACCATCATCAACTCACACCAGCAAAGGGGACAAACTCCTGAAAAGTAGTGGCTTTGAGCTCAAATTTAAATGGAGTACTCTTTCTTTTGGTGGGTGTGTGTGTGTGTGTGTGGGGAGATGGTGCTGAGACAGGAGCTCACTATGCAGTCCAGGTTGGCCTTGAACTCACAGTGATCCTCCTGCCTCAGCTTCTTGGGTGCTGCGATTATAGGCGTGTGTTCCCAGGCCTGGCCACAGCACAGACTTCGAAGCAATGCTAACCCACATCACAAACCCAGATGAGGAAACTAACTCTCTACACTCTCCCATCCCCTTGGACACAGCGCACCCTGAGGTTTTTTCACAGCATCTTGTCCAGCTGTGAGTTTGAGCACTGTCTCCCTCCTACCAAACGTAAATCCAACCACAGCAGGGGCTCCACTCCAGCTATCCCTTCTGCCGTGGTACCCCAGTTCCCAGGCTGACAGGGAGCCTCTAAGAGTTTCTTGATTGAAGAAATGTAGAATGTGAGAATGTGAGGTATTTGTCTTCTGGGATATTTTACTTGGATAAACTTTTGTTTTCCCCTAATAGTGGCCCTCACTTGTGTCACGCCGTCAGTCATTGCCTTTCCTCACATGAAATCATTTGAGATTTAAACTTGGAGTGAATGTGGTGAAAAAATAGAAGATCCAGATGTTAGCGAAGACAATCGCTGTACGTACGAGCACGCACATTGGAGTGAAGTAGAATGGAAAAAGAACCCTGTGTTAAAGCACAATTAAAAACCCATTTTTCTTTGGTGGTGTTTTGTGTCTTCAAATTTGGGGAATTAGGAGTGTTTCTCAGCCAACTCTGCCTTCTATTCTATCTTGCGTTATTTTTCCTGAGATTGATCTTGTTTAGAAACCACAGAATGTTGCTTTCCTTGGTGGCCATCTAGTAAGGAGCCATAAAGTTTAGCGTTAAATTCAGACTCCACAAGGCTGTCGCCCTTCTCACCATGCCCTCAGAGTGGCCCTTAGCTGTGTCCTGTGCTCTCTGCCCTCGAAGTCTTCATGTCCCACCTGGCTGGCATCTGCACCCCAGCTCCTCTCTGGACCATACCACATTGGCTCCCGTGCCCTCCGCGCCCGCATCCTCCAGTCACAGCCTGTAGCCTGGCCATCCTGTCCCAGGCCCTTGGCACATCTGGAATCTTCTTTCTGCTCTCCGGGACTCCCCGCCTCTACCTTCTGCTCCAGCCCCTCCTTCGCCAGTTCAGTGCAGTCTTGAGAACAGGTTGTGTTCTTGTCTCTGGGTGGCCTGTGGTGATGTCATCAGACACCCGGGAGCCCTGGCTTCTGCAGCGCAGCCCTCGGGTCGAGGGCCTCAGTGGATGCGTCTGTCGCTGCGTGGGCTTCTGGTCTTGAAACGTCAACCTCCCTCCCGGGCTCATGCTGTGCGGCAGTCTTGGGAAGAATGCTGTCTCTTCAGGCCTTCCTCCAAGTGAGTGGCGATCGCACTGCGTGGCGCCAGGGGCGGCAGGGCCCAGGTTATTGTGTATTACTTCCTTACTAATATTTTCCCTTTGCTTTTCTTTCCCCACCTTTGCCTCAACCTCTTTCGTATAACAAGAACATTTAAAAATCCCTCTGAGAATTCACATTTGACATTATATAAATATTTCCTGGAAATGCAAGTACACAGTAGTGATAGCAGGTACCGTGGCACACACGGATAACCCCAGCTACTTGAGAGGCTAAGGCAGGAGAATCTCTGAGCCCAGGAGTTTAGGGTCGGACTGAGCAACATAGCAAGCCCCTGTCTCTTACGAAAAGAAAGAAACAATACAACCAACCAGCTACATAAATTCCCTGGAGGTGAATCATGGGCTTGATAGACTCTTGATTTTGAACAGAGGGTAAGACGCCCATTCTTGGGTAAAACTTTCCAAAAGGTTTGTGCGGCTAAGGCCTGTTCGTCCTCATCATCTTATGATTAGGGCCCTGGTCCCCGTCCTGTGTGGGTGTAGTGACCGGCAGCTCACGCTGTACCAGTAGCCGGGACAAAGACTAAATCCTACACTCGGCCTCGTGTGCTTTTGTCCCACAGAACTTTCACAAGCCAAAGTGCTTTTTCAAAAGTATTTTATTTGGGAATCATCTCCCATCAATAAAAAAACTTACAGTACCCTTAGCCTGGATGCACTTTTTCTTCAGCATTTTGCCCCATTTGTCTTATTGGAGTTAAGCTGCATAATTGTCATGGTTCTTTACTTCCAAGCACTTGAGTGTATATTTCCACAAATATAAGGATATTCTCACGTATAACCATAGCACAGTTACCAATTTTACATTTAAATTTTTTTTTTTTTTTTTTTTTTT